CGGCTGCTACGGCCCGAAAGCACCAACACCGCACAAAGACCTTACACAACACCATGGCAAATGACCAACCCCTCTGCAAAGAGTGACACAGCTGTTTGCTGGACCTCTCTTCTTTGCATCTCTTTTGTCTGCATCTCCCCCAAAAAACACAGACGATCAATGGCAGAAAACTGTAGGGACGCAAATCGCAATCTGACGTGGAAAAGGCGGCCCGAAACTGTGCTAATTTTGTGAGACTCCGCCCTTCTCCGAAGCCCGGAAGGCCTCTCTCATCATCTACACGTATCCTGGGGGGGAATTCTGAAATATATGTGTTGCTTTCGCGCCAGGAACCTTTTGCATGACAGCATGTGCATTCATTCATTTCCTTTGTCTTCACGCCGTCTCCAGTTGGGACGGGCGTGTTATGCTTAGCTTGATGCCATGACTACTGCGGCTGTGAAAAGAGCTGCCGCTGCTCTTCAAGAAGTGTGCCAAGACTTTGCGTGCTTGGGTCCGTGAGGCTATCTTCACAACCAAGTGTTTCTTTGGCGGGGGGAAAGAAGGAAGGGAGTCCAAACATTCTCGCGAATCTCACTCGCATTCTTGAAATAGACCAATTTCACCTGCAGTCACGGCAGTTTGGAAATCTGGGCAGCTGAGAGAAGACAGGCATCATGGATCGGTGGTGTGCGCAAGCGCGCCACCTTCCCCATCCAAGAACCAGAAACAATGGATCACTGCATGTGATGCATACTAATCTTATGTATATACCCTAGAAGTCCAAAGACTGTATATTGACCGTCTGAAGTAAAGGAAGTTCCCTTTCAGGTCCCCTAAAGACCAATCTTTGTATAGTCTTTGACTCCCAGGGTATATATGGTCTGTGTTTCCCTTGATCAGGTCTCCAGGCATCAGGTCTGAGTCTTCGTACATCCCTTGACCCATTTCAAGCCAGTCACATCCGGCCGGGCTTTTCAAGGGGGTGTCCCGGACCTTGGAGGGGTCTTGGGGTCTCGGTGTTCAGAGCTCCAAAGGAGAACCAAAAGGATCCCGCTACGAACCACTGGACCCGGGCTGTCTGAAGGTCTCACATGCCGAGCGACAAATGCTGCCGAAATCGGCGGCGGGTGTCCCGACGTCCGACCGATCGTCCGACCCGATCGTCCGACCAATCTGGGAGGTGTTGATCGTCCGAAGATCTGGGCATGTTCACCCAAGCCTAGCCATTCGAATTCATCACACCCTGGGGCCCTAGGGGCGCCAAGAGTCACATAGGGTCACCGTGAGTCTAGCACCTCTCAGCCGTGATGTTGTATCCGGTGGCCCCGAGAATGAGCGACCCCACATCTGAAAATCCGATTTGAAAGAAACATGCAGCCCTGGTCAAAACCGAAATCTGTCCTCTACTCCTGAATTTTGAACCACATGATTCTGGCAAACCCCGTTGTGATCGGCAAGAGCTGAGGATTTCTCACCCGTTGGTCCGAATGCGTTCGGATCACCGTCACCTGTGTCACCTCCGTTTCCTGATCCCATTCACCTCTGTGAGGTGACACAGGTGACGGAAAGTCGGCGTGTTCACCCAAAAGTCTTGGCCTCCTTGATCTCTGTCGCGCATGACCTGGCAACATCGACTCGTTCCATGCTCAGTTCGAGAGCAGAGAGTTGCATGCTCAAGTTCGATGTCCCAGCCCAAGACCTAAGACCTAATCCTCCAACTATCTCCGTTTCGAAGATGGTGGGGTGCATGCCAGGGGGTCTAACCACCGAACCTGATATGGGGCGTTCGGAGCCCAGCCTTGTGGATTGAAGCCACCAACCCACGGCCTTCAATCCACAGTTTCAGGCCCTGACGAGTAGGAGACTTCTGTTCATCGAGTAGAAGGTTCTGATCAGTTCAGATCATCGAACATCCTGCTAACCCTTCCAAATCTTTGCACCCCTTCAAACAGAAAGCCGCAAAAAAAAGGTGAGTGGAAGACTTTGGGTCTATCCTATTGCCTGCAACAGTGGAGTAAAGGCCTTGTCTAACAATAGTGATAATTGTCAATTGTTTACTGCTAAAGCGTGGTGATACAATGACATGCCACACGGGTTTCATCTCGATGGTGTCTCGGTGTGTGGCAAAGTCCATGGCGGCACACGAGACCGCCTCCCAGAAGTTAAACGAATTTGTCCTTTTGATGATCTATAGTTAGAGATTGTGATGGTCTATAGAATTAAATAGAAGGAAATGTCATGTATGCAAAATTAATGTGTTCTTTTGGAAACTGTTTTGTCAAACACCCGTTGGATTCGACCTTGGCTAGTACCTACAGCATTTTGGACCCCGTGCTGACTTTCCGCAAGTATTCACAGCGTTTTTGCATCTTCATTTCCACTGCTATGTAAAACATGTTGTGATCATTGGGAAGGATTGCGAAAATCACCCCGCATCCATGTCGTCGGTTGTCATGGGTTGCAGCATGTGGTTATCCGTTTCGCAGCATCGTCATTGTTTTCACAACAAGGTCATCACAGTCATTGTCATCGAAGAAATGCTATCCTTAGATTCATTAGTTGCTTAATATTTAACATTGCCTGCAGATACAGAAAATCGTCATCGGCTGCACAACATGGTCGTTGGTGTCACACTGTCACCGGCTGCAAACCAGTTGGACAGTTGGCACATCGTCACTGGAAAACTCAATGGATGGCTTGGAGCACGAGATCACACCCGACATCCGCCTTTGTGGCCGGGGCCCAAGGCACCAGAAGTCGTTCGATCAAACCCCATTGTGGCTGGCCACAGCCCACAATTGCACGTCATGTTGGGTGGCTGTGTGTGTGTGCGTGTGTCAACCCTTGTTTCTAGGGGATTGCAATTTCACACTGTCTTCTCATTCTGCACAGTTAGTGAAATCAAACTTTAATGATTAACACTGTTGGCTCCTCCTCTCTGAGCTACTCCTGCTCTTTCTTCAAGTCTTGGAACAGCATACACCGGCCTCCGCCAGCCACAACACAGCGCTTACACAGGTGCCTCAAACGAATCACTTCATCAGCATACAGCACTCACTCGCCCTTCACCCCGGGCGCTATGTTGCCAAGATGGCTTCAGCCCTCGGCATTCACATGACTCATGCACTATTGGCTCCTCCTCTCAGAGCCGCCACTGCTCTCTCTTTCGTCTTGGGACAACATAGGCAGTCTTTCTACACTCGCAACAACAACAAAAAAAACAAAATAAATCCAACATGGTATTGCGCACGGGCGCGCCCAAATTTCAGCGCAGCCGGATACGCCGGTGAACGCCAAGTGGAAGGTTGACCTGGGGTGCGGGTTTGCATAGGGCCTACCACCACATCAGGCACCAGCTGGCAATGATAGTGCGGCGACTGGCATGCGATATCTTAAGCCGCACTTTCTCAGCTTCTTGCATCCGCAAGGCATTTGTTAAACATCTTTGGCAGTGACCGTCTTCTTTGTCAATTTGTTCTCTAGTGTCCGACAGTAAGTGGATACAAGAGTGCTTGCAGCTGCCCAGGTCCGTTTCAATTAACTCAGTCAGGAGCGCGGCTTTTGCAGTTCTGCTGTCGGCTACAAGTAGCACCTTTCCACTTACAAGTTCTCTGTGCGTCGGATCACGGCGCACACATTCTCCTCATTTTGCGCCGTTAATGAAATCATAATCAAACATTTAATGATTAACACAGCACGGGGTGGCAGTGGACCATCATCACTCACTGCCCAACGAAGACAGTGATGGTCCGGTCATGATATCCAGAAGGGACGCTTTCTGGACGTACCTGCAAATCGTTTAAATGCCGTTTCTGTTTCACCTATGTCAAACAATACTATTCCTGGACTTTTCGCCATACTGTTCCTTCAGCCAAGGTCCAATCTGCACTAAGGTCAAGCGTTGGTGCAATCTCTCTTGACTCAGTCTCGGAAGTTGTGCTCACTTGAGCGTTATTCTACGTGTGTGTGAAACGTGCGGTGGTGCTTGCGGCACTTCTTAACCTCATACGATCAACTTCCGCTGCTATTTACAAGATACGATCAACTCCGGTGAACAGAACCTTAGTTAGAGTTGCTTACTCTTGAAGCGCCCACTAAGAAGGAATGCCCTGACACCGAGACCGGACCCACCCAGTGTGCGAACACCTTTGGGATCTTTGGGTAAGGTTGGCCCAGGTGGGTCAGATCGGCCGCTTCCAAAAAGAGAGTCTCATGGCAGGCAATGAATTGGTATAGTAATACAACGTGCAGATTGGCACCGGAGGGCTTGCCAGGGCATCCGATTTGTGGCTTGGTGGTATTTGGCTGCCTTGCATTTTGGCTTGTTTCGGATTTGGTTGGATTTGAGCTTGGTTGCAGTCAAAAACAACACTTCCTTCCAGCAGCATGATAACTGATACAGCTAGAAAAAGCACGAAAGGCAGAAAAACACACAAGCAAGAAAGCTGGAAAAGCATACTCATAAGCACAAGCAAGTGGATATGTGATATGTTTAAAAGAGAATTGCAAACACAAAACACCAAAAAGTAAACCCCTCCATAAAAGGTAGGTTCATCTTTCACTCTACTTCGTCCTGGGTGACTGTGCCATCTACTCAGTGCAGCGGGGCCGACGCACGCTTGGCGGGTGGAGGGAGACAGTCATAGAGTCTGGTGCTGGACTCCAAACCACTGAAAGCTGTAATATCAAGAAAACAGAAAACAACAGCAGAGGTCAAAAGGAGAAACTACAACAACAAAATAAGAACAAACACACACGCAACCAACCAACCAACCAACCAACCAACCAACCAACCAACCAACCAACCAACCAACCTACCTACCTACCTACCTACCTACCAAAACCAACCTACCTACCAAAACCAACCAAAACCAACCAGCCAACCAAGCACAAACACAACCCCAACAAATTAGAATTCAGAAGAATCGGTGGACATAAACCTGGGAGTCGTCTTCACGTGGCGCGGGAGTTGGAGGTCGACCAACCGTGACCGACGTCGAAGCTCCGCTCCCGCGCCTTTAAAGCCAGTAGCCTTCTTGAGCTCCGGCATCCAACAACTCCTCCTTGGCCGTGGCCGTCCGTGGCCGGAATCCAGAGTCGGAAGGCAACTGCGCCGAAACTTGGGGGGGGGGCTACAGTCGTTGTGGCTACAGTCGTGGCTACCAGGTGGAACAACGAATGGCTATGATGCAGGTCGGTCATCATGTTCGGTCGTCTGTGATAGAGGGTCCATTTTGGGAGATCCCGCGCTGGCCAAGGTCGCCGGCCTATGTTAGGGTGACCGTACACTGAACGTTGGACACTGCGAACGTTCGCGAACGGCAGAGCTGGAAACGAACAAGCAAACAAAGCGACTGACCCGACAAGCACGACAGCTGAAGTGAAGAGCCTGTACTTAGGCAAGGAGGAGCTGCATGTTTTCAACATGATCAGCTGAACCAACCATGACGGTGGAATGAGAATTCTGTCTTCCAAGAAGACCTTGGTGTATGACAAGGGCGGATGGCACATGCTTGGATTGGACGATTCCATTTTTTGAATTGGACCATTCAAAACGTCTCCCAAGGCCAGAGATGTTTAGACAATGATTAGGGCAATGACACGCACCGACGAGACGAGAGAACGGGCTTTCACGGCCTGGACGATGTTCCTTCAAAGCCCATCAGGTTCCGTGGTTCCATCAGGTTTCATCTGTGTCATTCTGTGTCTACCTAGCACTTCCAACGGGTGCCCTGTCTGGAGACCTGTAAGTAGGGTGGGGTAGTCTAGCCAGGTCACCCATTGGATGATCCTGGTAGGGGTGTCGTTCTCCTCTTCGATCGACTCCATCAACAAACCGCTGGATCGCTGTTCCACACGGAAATCCGAACACGACGGGCCGACGACGCTTGGGTCAGAACACAACCAACAACCCCACCATATTTGGAGATGTCGAAGGGAATCTTAGCAGTTCCCAAACAGATTCTGCCCTTGTTGTGGGTGACCGCTGGCTTTTGGCTTCCCCCATTGTCAACCCTGGAAAGGTTCGAGCAAAAAAGATCACAAGCAAGACACATCTCTAACCTTCTTGTCCCCAAAACCTGCAGCCAGCCATGAAACTGGATCTTCTTCAGCCATTTTCCATCACCAAAAAGGTCCCTTCTCCATCACTCAAAAGCTGCTGGTGTGGGGAAATGCCTGCATTCTGGTCGGTTTTTCTAGCTGAGATACTCTGGCATCGTCTGGCATCCCAAAACCCCCGGGCCAAGGAGCTGGAACCAGGAACCTCAGAGGTCGGGCTGGGGTGCTTTTGGGCACCGGCTGGGTCGACGATTTGGCCGCGATTTGGGGCTGGGAAACGGCAAACATGGTGAGTCATACCTATATACCCTAGGGCTCCTGGCCCATATCCTCAGAAGGTAGTTAGACCCCCCCAAACCCACCCTTAACCACCTTCTCAGGAGGTAGTGTGAGCCCTAGGACTAGATCCTTCAACTGTGCAAAGCGTTTTTCTTATTGATAAAACCAGCCAGAAGGCAGAATGTTGCACAGTTGGAAGGTCCAGGTGTGAGTCGGTATGAGTCATACCGTCATACCTCCAGAGATTGAACCTCCCTGGTGGACCACTGGTCAGCTAGGAGTCAGGAGGGCTGAAAACAAAAACTGCCTTTTAAGGGTTAGACAAAAGGTCCAACAGCAAAACGGTATGCTTTCATGGAAGGAATGCCATGGCAAAAAAGGAGTCGCTGGTATTGTGTTTTTGGAAAAGACCGAAAACACACAAAGAAAAGAACCCTCTTCGAGCAGAATTCACATTGTTCTTCAGACCAAATTCAGGCCACGTTCCTTCACGGGGCCACCTTGTTTCGAGACTACACTCCAACAAACATGGAAATGAACCAGCCCCCTATCCTCCCCCGCCTAGCGGGGTAGTCTAGGTCAAGGTAACCCCTATCAGGGGACTTCTGTGTGATTTTTAGAGGAAAATGGAGTAAGGTGGAGCCATCCAGGAGCCATCCACCTACTCATGCAGGACGTAGGTCAGCATGGAAAAAAGAACCGTCGGCGGCTGCTGCCCCGGGGCGGAGCTGGACGAGGGCCATTCTCACCCTGCGGACGGGGCGAAGAAACGACGTGGCAATGAGCCACGTGGCAGAAGTGGCAAAGTAAGATATCATAAGTGTACAGTGTAAGAGAAGATACGTGTCATATCTTATCTAAAAAGACTTCATTCCACTAGAAGAGATGCGGACCCAGAAAGACCCGTGAAATCCACCACCCCTGGCCTGATCCATCCAGATTCGAGTTCGAGTCACCTAAAGGTGAACAACATCCCAGAAACTACACCTGGCTAGCCACCCATGAAGCAAGCCAGGTTTACTGGTTTACATATTTATTACTTACTGGTTTAGCATACTTGGATCCGACCACCAGCTTCGCCACCTGGCTAGCCACCCATAAGCCATCCGTCACCCCTCAAAGTTCCAGATCATCTAGCGGCTTGGAAGAATGGCTGCACCCAGAGGCGTGGCAGAATCCCATGGACCGCATAAGAGTTCCTCACTTCGAACCGTGGCGGGTCAGCTCCATGGAACGACCAAACAGTTTACCAATAACACCAGCATAGACCCAGATAGCTTGGAACCCCACGACCTGTTGACATGCGACTGGCTGGAACAAGCAAGCTTCGCTCTCTGGGGAAAAACACGGAGCTTTCATGGGATGACATAGGCCATCAGGAATGGAATCCATCCGTCAGGAATCCACAGGAATCCTTTCCCACAACATGCTCTTAAGCAATTGTCAGAATTCGCTCGTCCCTTTTTATATGTTTGTGACTCTTTTGTGACCATCTGGAACTGAAAGCATGGCACATTTGGCGACGCTGATCTGTTCACCCGCTTTTTCCGGGTCTCGTGCTACGCACGCCGGAACCACCGCAAACGAAGCTGCTGCTTAGCGCAACACAAAAAGTGTCATGTAGCGCACTGGGATAAGCATTTCACCCCAAACCCAGTGACTGGGATGCCCCAACACTAGACATTCTGAGGTTCAGGGGTCAGTGGTCGACCCCCTTGGGCGCTCACCTCGCCTTCGTCGCGACGCGGGTCGGGTCGTAAACGTCAGGGACGTCGGCCGGCTGCTGGGTGAACCTGGAAGACGAGGCCGGGCCCTGGTTCCCGGGATGGAAAAGGAAGGAAAGCCATCGAAAGCCAGGTAGAGGTCTATAGTATGCTCTAGTCCTAGACGGATTGCATGTACTTGGTACTTTCAACTTGTGAACCACACGTCGAGATCCGTAGAGCACGGCGAGGACGGGGTCTCCCATCTGCACCACCTTCGGTTCCGGCAGCTAGAAGTCTCGACCAACATGGCCCCACCGACACACACACATACACACAGAGAGACGGATACAGAGAAGACGCGCCCGCACCGAGGTCAGGAAGCCATCTGAAATCTTGGAACCTCTTGGAACCCAGAAAAAGTCTCAACAAATGTGATGTTGAGCCAACTGGATGTCACTTGGGCGAGACCCTCCCAACTGATGGGCGAGTCTAAGCCAACTGATGGGCGAGACGGTCCAATGGATGCCGCACTAGGTGCCAGGGAGTGGGTGTTGTTCCGGACATGATCAAGAGTTTGGTGTCGTGCAGCCCAAGAAACCGCCCCCTTTCGGGGAGTCTTTCGTGTAGAGTTGTCAGATAGCCATCTGTGGGTTCCTTTTGGCCTGAGCTCTCTCCGATTCCACGTCCATGGACCCTGCCAGGTCTCCTCTGCTTTTGACTTCAAAGTCGCAGGTGGTGACTAGGAGCGATCGGACGCGAACGGGGCGAAACTGGCCTTACGAACGGAACCAGCTTCGCTACGGCACGAAGCTGCTGCGATCGGACGCGAACCGAGGGCCCAGGTCACCGTTCACTCGGTTGGGCACCCGGACGGCCTGGCCCAGGCCTGCAAGCGAGAAAAGAGCGGACGGGTGAGGTGCGGCAAAGATCATCTCTGCACTGCATTTTTTCGAGTTCCTTGGACATGGTCAAAACAATGGTTGCGAATGCTTTGACCGGATGTTTCCCAGTTCAGGGGCTTAGATCTGTCCGTCAAGATCGTTTCGCGTTTCTCGCAGAAAAAGGACGTTTCTTTGATCTTCATGAATAGATACCAACTGCAGTGGTGCGTCCCTGTGTCCGAGTCCCTGTGTGAATAATTACGTGAGAGCCAGGTCGACCTGGTTGTTCATCGATCGTGGCCCGAAGGAAGAGTCACTGCATGTGAACTCTCTTTGGTGAAAGAAGGGGGTCCACAACTGGGCCATCGGAGTTCAGATCCAGTTCGAGGCCATCTAACAGCACCAGTCCGCACACGGGCAAACCCCCAGAACGCCTCCCCGTTCCTCCAGCCAAACGCTGGCCTTGGCCCGGACCGAGTCTTCCGTTTGGAAGCACCGTTCTGAGCCTGAATCCCGAACAACCATGGTTTTACTTATAAGGAGTTTACACAAAAAGCAGATCAACCATTGGCGCCATGGATTTCCATGTCGACGTGGGGTTTTTCAGAGGTGTGTTGGGCGAAACTCTCGCATCGTTTCTGGGTGTTCCCTCAGTCCGGCAGTCCGCCACTGGAGCAACGTCAAGCTTGTGGATGTCTTCTTCCGCAGTCCACTTCGTTGGACCCATCAGACCCTTTTCGGTCTTTTTCGGCAGAAATGCGGTGCTGGCACACCAAGCGGGCACAGCAAATCGTGTCTGCAGGATGTTCACCATTCGTTGATACTTGAACCAAGCAAAGCACACATGATTTATCAACCCGCAACTAGCCCTGCCAGGTGATGATCACCTGCCATTTCTGGAAAGTGAACGCGTCCGACCCTCGCATTGCCCTTCGTTCCTCTTCCTTTCGCTTTGCCGGTACACTGGGGCCCTGAACGGCAGCGTACTCGCATCCGGTGCCACATTAGAGAGGTCTTGGCACTCCTCCGGTATGGCCTGAGCTGGCCACGCACCGGAACCGGTTCGTGGCTGGCCTGGGAACTGGTAACGAAAAGACATCACTAGCTGCTATGAAAGAACATGGCGGATGATTCATCACCTGACCATTCAAAGCAGCTGCTCTCAGTGGAAGCTGGCTGAGACCATACCTTTGCCTCGGCTGGATGAAACCAGGAAGTTCCACGTCAAGATGTTGCTGGCTTCCCCTTCTTCTACTAAACCCATGGCTGCCCATCACATCCCGAAAAAAAATAAAGAAGAAAGAACGGTTTTTCGGCGACGGGACCGTGGGCATGTGACATAGCAACTGACAGAACAGTCTGTCAAACAGATGCATGAACCGACCTCTGAGGGACATTCCGATGCAAAAAGAAACAGGAATGATGACTCTCCCATCCGCAATTGACAGCTCTCCCAGCTCTCCCTCTCTGTGGAGTGACCACTTTTTATGGTCTTTAGAGGACCTGAAAGGGAATTTCCTTTGCTAGATTTCACTGCAAGCAAAAATGTTGTCTTTGGGCTTCTAGAACATGTTGTTCTGTGTGTCTTCCATTGTCTTCCTGTCAGATCTCTCAACCTGCACATACTCTTCTCACCTGTTCTATATGAACACTTCGCAAATCCTCTAGTTCCTTCACGCCCCGTTCTCACCCGACCTCCGTACTGGGGGAGACTGGGAACCGAGAACGCACGAACCCCGCTCGCACGTTTTCGCGCGCGCCTCCGTCTGATCGACCTCCGGCTTTCGCGGGCGTGGTGCGGATCCGGCTCCGAAGTGCGACGACCCAAGGCAACCAAGCAAACCACGTCTATAGACCGAACGATGGCCGGTTCCGCAACTGGGATCAACAGGGCGATGTGTTTTTCCGGCTTGGTTGGAGGATCTCTCATATGGGCATTGATCATCACCCACAGCAGCCATGCTTATTTTTTGTAGACCAAGGCCAGGTAACATGTTGCTCTCGGAGATGCTTGAGAGACATGATACACCACAACTGAGAAGCCTTTTTGCTGGGATCAGATCGCAGTTGATCTGCTCTTTCTCTGTCCAGGCCCGTTCTTTTTGTAGCTGGTGCCCCAAAAAGAAGCTGCCGCATTTTCGTGGCACAGAGCAACTGGCCAACTTGGAGACATGGGGATGAGGATGGTCTCTATTGGTTCATCACCTGTCTTTCGGGGAACACCCCAGGATATGCTTTGGAAGAATCAAGTCCCCGCCACTCAAACCAGGCCACTTGCACAGGATGGAAGATAAGTGTCCCCACGCCCACAACCCCCAGAACGCAAGCATGTGGAAGGGAACCGTGGCTCCACAGTCCATAAAGCTCTCAACCAATAACCGTTCTTTCAACTCCAAGCCGAAAAAAGAAAAACTCCGGAAAGAGATCCTCGCCTTGCTCACTTTGTTGGAGGAACTCGACTTTTCCCTTCGGATCACCTGGGGCTCCACATAGTCGCCTCCAAAGCCTGACGCCGAACTGTCCAACATGTCACCTTCGGACGAAGAACCTTCGGGTTTCGGAGACGCTCCCTTGAGCTGGAGCTGTCTGGCAGCGCGCCCAGAGGCGGGAGAGGCTAGCTAGGATCGTCTGGGCACCCGGATCCACGACAGGAGACTCCCAGTCTCCTCCCATCAGTCTGACAATGGCTAGGCCCTATAGGCAGCACTCATATATGGCCCATGGCCCTTGGTCGACTTGATGGCCTCAAGGTTGGGGTTTGTTTTCGACGCAGACGAGCGGATTGGAAAGCGGCGGTATGTTGAAAAGTAATTGGTATGTGGACTTCAGAGAATCATGGAGAACCTTTGGTCGCATTGAGTCATACTACATCCAAATTGACTGACAGAAAACCCACGAACCCGAATGCACACACAACATCACACAACACAAACGGCCAACCGCTGCTCGACAACCTTGCTTCACGTTCTTCCACCGGCACTTATTGTTGGGGAGCTCTTGTAGAAGACTCTTGCCGGACACTGAAGACTCAAGCCGAAAGTTCTTCCAAAGTCACGATTCAAAACGAGCATGTCGCTCGAGACTTCCTCCAAAAGTGACCCGTCAAGTCTCCAAAGCATGTGTTTCGGCTTGGACCAAAAGTGACCTGTCAAGTCTCCAAAACGAGCATTTCGGACGAGACCTCCTCCAAAAGTCACGCGCCCTTGCGAACACATCCCGCAGCCAATCTCAATGGCACAGCAACATTCACTGCACCCAAAAGTCGCAACCTCACAAGTCCCTGCACCTGCCACCAGCACCTCTCACGGGCTCAAAGCACTGGGCCCGCAAAGAACAGTGACTACGCCACCCCTTGACATGTCGAGGAAAATGTGCACCCTGCCACACCATTGCTTCTTAGTTGCTTCATCCAGGTACCACAAAATCGCAATTTTACCTGGACCGTTCACGAAAGCACAACTTCGAGGCAAGCGCTTCAAGAGCAAAGCCTAATGGCACAGCGACATTCAAGACCTCTAAAAGACCACCATGAGAATGCCAATCTCAATTGCACAGCGACGCCAAGTGCAAACCTCAGAAAACGCTGCACCTGCCCCAGTGAAATCAACCTTTGGCAATAGAGATGATGCGTTTCTACGCTCTTTCACACGAATCTGACACGGCGTAGTTCCGTCCAACACCTCCAGGAATTCATCGCTTCGCACCGTTCGCACCGGGTCCCGCCACCCAACCTCCGACGTCGGGGCTTCTGTGTGCCGAGGGAAGGTGAAGGGAGCAGAATGCGAGACAACGATGAAACCCGCTCCGCCACTGAACTTCTAGACCAAAAATTTTTCATGTCCAGTTTGCACTTGCCTAGGTTATTGAATGCGCGATGCCTAGGCATGTGATTGATCACCGCAGCATTTGCGGCTGCAAAGCCCTGAAGAGTCCCAAGGGGGACGAAAGCTAGGCATTTAATACCTTGCTGCAGTCGTAGAAAAGCTGCGTTGGGCTTGAGCGACCTGTTCTAAAGTTGTGCCACTGAACTTCTAGAACATCCAAGAGAGGTTAAGTGACCTTATAGGGCCTTACTGGGGTACCTGTGGGATAGTCTAGAGGGTTCTTCAACCTCTGTTGGATGGAATTTGGTGGTCCAACTACACTCCCAAACTGTTTCCGAAGTCAAGGCGTGTCGAGCCCATGTGTCCACCGACACGCCGGCCGACAGGCTGTGCCCCCAATTGTCTGCCCAAAAAGACCCCTGTGCCATCGATCATCGGATTTTGGACGGGCCTCCAAAACGACCATCTACCCTCCAAATCCAACGGCCTCTTGAGAAGACTCTAGTTACTAGTTCTTTACAAACAGGGCAGGAGGGCTCCACTTCCACGTTTGTTTGAGAGAAGCTTACGTGGCGATTCCACCCTTTTTGGGCCTCGGACTGTGGCGTTGTGTGGTATGGTATTTTTTGCCTCTTGACCCGACCTCATGACCACTGAAAAGCATCTGTCCAGCAAGTCCAAAGGACAAGTTGAACTGGTGCATTTGACCTCAAAACCGCTTGTGAACCGGCCTCTTGACTCTGTTTTCACGGGCTTTTCGTTTTCCACGGTTTATTTTCAACCGTCCCCCTTTTGCAGCATCCATCAACACTCAAACTGGGGCAGCACCCATGAACCACAGGTGCGTTGACCCACCAACATCGCTGTGGGACAACGCATCAGTGCTGGCCATCCTTTGTTATACTAATTAGTAGCGATGCCCTTGTTCCTAGTAGCTTCTTGTTACTACAGGTGAAACGATTCCCAAGGAAGCTTCTAGCTACCAGCAGCTTCTTGTTCCTGTAAGGCCAGGAGCCCCCCGTTCGGTTCGCGTCCTTTTCCCCACCACATGGCGCCTGAAGCGCCACCTGGGCGCACGTCCAAGGGCAGCTGGTTCGGTTCCTTTCGCAGGTGGCGCCTGGGATCGGACCCGGGGTCCGGTGCCAGGTCCGATGTTCCCAGCACATCCTTCGGTGTGCCAGGTCCAAAAGGGACCAAAAAGCTGAACCTTCTGCCATCCCAAAAGGGTAAATAGATTGGTTGACCCCAGTTGGTTGAGGTCTTTTGTGAATGTAGGACATTTCTGCAAAAGCTGAGCACAAAAGCTTCTGGAAATTGCGATGAACGTACCTCCGGCACCAAACACACGATGAATCCATTGGTCTGGGTTCAGGGGTGCGAGTTCACGATCTGCCAGGCTCGACACACCCAGCTTAGGACCTTGAAACAGCATCTCCAAACACTCCCCTAGGGATCTAAATACCTTCTCAGAAGGTGAGGAGGGAGACACTGTTATGTAGGTGTGGAGGGTCCAATTACCTTCTGAGAAGGTACTTGAATCCCTAGGGCTCCATGGGACTGGCATATATTTACATTGACCCCCTTTTCAATCACATGTTCGGACCCTGGGACTGGAGACGTCCCCAGTCCCAGATCCCGGAGGAACCCTCCCAGATGTGCGCGGTCGGGTCTGTCCGAGTCCACACCCTCCTTCCACACCCTCCTCCCACCGCCGGGGGTTTCTTCACCGAGTGGATCCCCAGGTGCTGTTGGTGCGCCACTCCCGTCGGTCCCGATGTGCTGAAAAAGCCCCGTTCCCACCGTGCCGACGCACATGCCTCTAAGCTCGCAAGAGGCTCGGTACTTCACCCAAACAATCCGGAAAGCTCAGCCGGACTTTCCCGCCACATCCCCCCAAAAGATGAAGTGCGAGACATCCCCTCGCACCTTTCGTGCGCCACTCTCTTCATCTCTTCGCCTCGGCGCCGCACACCGGTCAGAACGATGGGTGGGTCGACGTGGGTCAGTGGTGCATGGCTTTGAAGGAAGGGTGAGACCCGAACCCTACACCTGACGTTGATCCGGCGAAGTCGAATCTGATCCGGCAATTACCCAATCATCGAGACGTGGCTTGGACGAGTAAGGACGAGTAAGGACGAGTGGCATGGCTTAGCAAACTCATCTGTATCTTACCAGCTCTGACAGGTATTCATATAATGCATGAGGTTCGCCGATTGATACTATATATTAGTAAGTTTGAAACTCATGTAACAAATTTGGCCTTTTGCCGAGGAGGTGTTAGACATTGGAGTCACTTTTCACAGCTCTGGTAGACATGTGTACTGACGTGCGGGGGCCCTTCGAACACTGGGCTCCGGTTGATGTTCCTCGTTGGCAGTGCAGTTCCCCCCAATATTTACTACACACCCAAGAAGAGAGGAGGTCTACGGGGCATGTTGACATTCCCTGCTCGTTGGTGCTTGGCAACGTCCTACACATGGTGGCTCTCCAAAAATACAATCTCGAGCGCATCCCATTGAGACAGATATCCTGGAATTACTGGGCATCTCATTTTTGTCTAGTTGGATGCCCGTAGAAATCATACCCATGCTAACCTTGCTAACCGGTGTTGCGCAGGTGGCGCAACAGTCGGTGCCACCTGGGGCCACCTGGCTCCCATGGGCAAAGTTGCAGTTGGGACCTCGGTTCCGGCTCGTAGTGTCGCTTCTGGCGGCGAAAAATGATATACCTATATAGATACTTATCCTATTATATTAGTATAGAATCATATAGACGATCTTCCAACTGTGCCTACCTGTTCTTCTCTAAAACCAGCCAAAAGGCAGGCATTTTTTGCACAGTTAGAAGATCTGAGTATGAGGCCCGCTTTTGCCGCTCAACTCCCGCAAGGGAGTGTTTTCTCTGCACGGGTGACGACAAGTCGACATGGACAGATAGGTGGACCTGTCGGAACCATTCGGAACCTGGATTAGGCCGAACATGGGGAGGACTGCTGGGCCCTTGGAGATCACACATTTTGCCGCTCCATGCATGCCAGTCATCCGCGGGATCGAGGCACTACTTGGCAGAACATCGTGAGACTGAATCGACGTACGTACGGGGCGTCACAAAGGATGTTACAATGTCTGAGCTGATGGAAGACAGACGTGCCAATACATGATCATTGCCAAATCACCTTCAATATTATGGCCGTGTCTGGTGGTGCCTTTGTGGTTGATTCATCCCCTATGCTTCAAAGATTCGACACCTGACTCTGCGGATTGGCCAGTTCGGTGCATGTGCGGCCAGGTTCACATTGCATAGGCCAGTTTCTATGAGCTTGAAAAGGGTGCTCTGATCTTCACTTACAATAGGCCAGATGATGGGCACTGAACACTGCTTTGTGGAGATTGCTGGGGTCTATACCTAGAACTTCCAACTGTGCAACATGTTTGCCTTTTATATCTTACAAAAAAACACACAAAAGGATATCCAAAAGGTACACATGTTTTGCACCGTTAGAAGATCTATGTCTACAGGAATTAGATCTACATCTCCTGCAGATCGGCTTTCTTCAGGAATGCTCCGCACCGGAGGGAACTTCTGCGCCACACCTGCCTCCCTCCCGCATCGACGCATCGACTTGGTCTGCACACCTGCAGTGCAACTGCCCCGCCTGAGCTTCAGCAGACGCTGACGATTGTTCTTGAGGCTCGTTTCCCTACCCCAGTCAAGGGCTAAGTATTCACTTTTTTCTACTCCTACCTTTCTCTCTTGCCCTCTTAGCGCTGCTCTTTCTGTGTTTCTTTCTTTTGTTTCTATGGTTTTTTAGGTGCCTATTCAGGTCCTCCGCGCGAGCGCCGCAAAGCGGCACCGTGTGTGTGTCAACCTCTGTAACTAAGAGTTTTGAATGCAGGAGGCCAGCGGCCGAGAAGCAAACGCTGGCTAACAAAGCTATGCTTGTTCGGTGGATGCACAGTCTGATCAACTGTGTGTACCTGCGACCAACCTTTGCACAAGCTGTCACTCCACTTTCCTCGATTTGATTCATGGTTCTTACATGCTACCTTCCCCCAAACCCTGGGTTTCTGCAGCTGCACCGCGCCGCTCGTTTCGTCACCGCTGAGTTCTGCAGACGCGAGAAACAACTTTTGTTCAAACACCTACAATTTCTTGGACCTTTCCCCATGCAGTTCTCTCACCTTCCTTCCACCTGGCAATTGAGTTAACTGAAAACCAATGTCAGAGTGTGTGTGTGTGTGTCAACCCCTGTTTCCAAGGGCTCTACCCTATTGATCTTCTTCGATTTACTCTTTCCTTTTGCAGAGTTTACACCTTGTACAGCAGCAGGGGGACACAGCATTTCACTGGGACTGTGTCCCACGAAGCTACCAGTGAAATGGGATATCCAGCTTGGCCAGCTGGACGTACCTGCAAATTTTCCAATTGTTTGAATCACTTCACTTGCACTCTTGTTCAACAATACTGTTGCTCGGACCCTGCACTTTTTTCAGTCAAGGTCTAACTTGCAGTAACACTAAAGTGCTAATGCTCACCGCGAATAGCCTGAAGACAAGCTCCACGGAGCAACCTTCTCAAGTGTGTTTCGCAGCTTCTTCCCACTGTGGTAAGCTGTGTGAACCCTACGGGGCGCCGTTACCGAGAGAACCTTCTCACTCCTCATAGAAGGAGTAATTTCTCTGAGTTTTCTGAAGTTCCACCGACTGAAGTTACATGCTCGAAATCAGCTTGCCTGAATCGTTTCACCCTGTACACGTGAATCTTACTGCAGAGTTTACTGGAATCCTTACTGAAGCTTCCTGCAGAGTTCAACTGAATCATGTCTCACCCCGGAGGTGTTTCCATGTTCCAACTGTTTAACAAAGCGCCGATTCGGCTTCTCGGACAATGCCTACGGGCAACTGCTGTTCGTTCGTAAGAGCATCCACCCTACCCTGCACCCCCTGCACCTTTGCTAGTTTTTCCTTGCCTTTTCGTTTGTTTTGTTCCTTCCTTCAGGCTTTTTAGGTATGATCCAGGCTTGTTTAGTCAACGCACGCCCTGCCCCCCCCACACCCCCTGCACCTTTCTCTTCTTTCCTTGCCTTTTCGTTTGTCTTGTTCTTTTCTTCAGGCTGGTTAGGTGGCAACCAGGCTCGTTTAGTCAATGCACGCCCGAACACCCCTTCACCCCCTTGGCGGAAAAAAGCAAAGAAAAGACAGAGAAAGAACAATAAAAAATGACGGAATCAGCAAAACGAAGCGGTCATGCACAGTTAGCGCTGCAGCATTGCAGCCTTTCTTGTTCAACAATACAGTTGATCTGACGGGCAGCGCCTCATCTGCGCACACAGATTTGGCTCATCTGCGCACACACATTTTGTTAGCACTTGCGCCTCATCTGCGCACACAGATTTGACTCATCTGCGCACACAGTCCATGGGGGAGACTCAAGTGCGCACACAGGCCCTTTCCCGGATGTTTGCTTAGTTAAAAGGGTCGTCAAGATGGAACAGCCACTTCCTCCTCTAAATTTTACCCTCGGGTGGCTCACCAAAGGGTGAGTCAACTTGGAATGACCACTTCCTTCTCTAAATTTTACCCCTGCCTGGCCCACAAAAGGGTGAGTCAAGCTGAAATGGCAACATCCTTGTCTAAATGTTACCCTCGGGTGGCTCACCAAAGGGTGAGTCAAGTTGAAATGGCAACATCCTTCTCTAAATTTTACCCCTGCCTACCCACAAAAGGGTGAGTCAAGTTGAAATGGCAACATCCTTCTCTAAATTTTAACCCTGCATGGCCCACAAAAGGGTGAGTCAAGTTGAAATGGCAACATCCTTCTCTAAATTTTACCCTCGGGTGGCTCACCAAAGGGTGGGTCAACTTGGAAGAGCAACATCCTTCTCTAAATTTTACCCCTGCCCACAAAAAGGTGAGTCAAGTTGAAATGGCCACATCCTTCTCTAAATTGTACCCCTGCCTTGCCCACAAAAGGGTGAGTCAAGTTGAAATGGCAACATCCTTCTGTAAATTTTACCCCTGCCTTGCCCACAAAAGGGTGAGTCAACTTGGCATGGCAACATCCTTCTCTAAATTTTACCCCTGCGTGGCCTACAAAAGGGTGAGGCAACTTGGAAGGGCAACATCCTTCTTTAAATTTTACCCTGCCCACAAAAGGGTGAGTCAAGTTGAAATTGCAACACCCTTCACTAAATTTATTTTCGGGTGGCTCACCAAAGGGTGAGTCAACTTGGAATGACCACTTCCTTCTCTAAATTTTTCCCCTGCCTTGCGCACAAAAGGGTGGGTCAAGTTGAAATGGCAACATCCTTCTCTAAATTTTACCCTCGGGTG